TTTTATTTTACAGAAAATTTTGATCCATGCAGAGAAAGTTTTATAGGATCATGAATCATAGCATTTGAGAATCATATACTGCAGAGCAAGCAGAGAATTTTGTCGTACGTTTCTGTCTTTAATTATTAGTGTATTTATGTTATATATATATGTTTGTGATGAATATTGTATTTATTCATCCTTAATAATTCTCCAAAGAAACTTAGTCTCTCTCTTTAACTCTAATTATTCCTTATTACTATTGTAATTCTGTCCAATTTAGAGAGAAGAAAAAATAGGTAAAATAACCAATACTTTCTTGAATTTAGATTTCAGGGGTTGCTTACAACAGATAAGAACTCTCATTCGTGATCTCTCTCTCACTGAAAGTAAACTACTCTAACACAGAGAGTTAATACAAATAAGAAGTGTAAAAATACTATAATAACCCCCAAAAATATGATAAGGTGCACCTCACAAAATCAAATAAATTTAGATACCTAAATTAAGTCATAATTGGATACCTAATAAAAAAAGAAAATCAATACTAAAATAATTCAAAACATATTAGATTCCAATTGGAATGATGCTGATGCTTGATATGTCTAAAGTTTAATGTTTGTTTTCCCCAACTTTAACAATGTAGAGATCTCCCCTTGTATTTTAAATCTATTTGGTTTGCAAAATTATCAGCCTTTATAACTTTTTCTCCTCTATGGCAAAAATCTTATGGTCAGTCGCCCTAGGATTCTTGAACCAAACCAAAACGATGATGTGGTTTCATCGGTTTGGAAATATTCCATTCGGTTCTGGTTTGAAATTTAAAGTGAAAATTTGAAAAATTTGAAAATAAAAAAAGTGCATTTTATTTTCACATTTGGTCTAGAAAAATAAAAAAGAGAAAAAGCATGGTTATTGATCTTCTTGCTATCTATTAGACAAGCAAGCTCAGTTTATGTGTAATTTCTTTATGCTAAAATTCATTTCTTTCTCACCTGTTTACTTAATTGATTTTTTCATTTTCAAAAAAAAAATGTTTTTGATTTTTTTCATTTTTAACATAAAAATGGTGTGTTTTCTCTTTCTGGCTTCTGCACTGTGATTGATTCTCTTGCACTGCCATTTTTATTTTAGTAATTATCCTAAGAATTTCTTGATATTTTTCTATTTTGTTCTCGTAGTACATAAAATTAGCATATGTATTAGACTATATTACAACTTTTCTTTTTCTTTTTTTCTGTAATCATAGTAGGTAGCAAAAAAATTTATATATTATAAAATATGTCACATGTTTTTAAAATTTTTAAATATAACAAAAAAATTTCACTTAGTATATCACATACATATTGCATAGACACTTATATTAATAATATATTTGATATATATATATGACAACATATTAGTAGTTCGATATATTACAATCGTTTGGGTAAAGTTATCATTTTAAAATTAGAATTCCATTTTATTTTGTTAAAGTGCTATATTTGAAAAAAAAAAATTAGATGTAGTTGCTATTTTGCTATTTTTTTTTGACATATTTGCAAGTCTCCTTTCTCTCTTGTTCAACCTACCAATTTTATTTATCTATATAAAGAGCTGTGTTTTTTGAACATTTCACCCACTCTGCACTTCTATCTTCAGCTAGCTAGCTTTTCTCTCCAGAGATTTTCCCTTCTTTTCCTCTCAAGTTTTTCACTAAAAAATGGACCGACTTGGCTCTGTTACTTGTTTTATCATCAAACCTATGTTTTCATTTGCTGCAAGCTGGGTTTTTAATATCATGTCCACCACTTTCTTGTTACTGCACTACGATCATTATTACCATGCACACCTTTCGACACACGCTATACTCCCTGCATTGCTCTTCGTTATATTTGCTGGAGTTTCAATTTTGTGTTATAAATTTGGGCCATTCGGGTCTATTGAAGACTCGCAGTGCGTAAGATTTTTCTTGTGCTTAGCTAATGGGATATCTATATTTTTAATTGGATATCTTTTGGCTTTAATATCGGAAAAAAAAAGCTAACCAGTTAGATTATTGGTTAGTCTTATTTCATTTATCATGTGCTTACTACTTTTACTTTTTAACTATTTATACCAATCCTTTATTTGGTTTTTCCGTTAGCTTTACATTCGTGGACAATGCTTATACTATAAGCAATTTAATGAAGAAAAATAAATTATTATGCATTATTTGAGTGATAAGTTTTGGTTCTATTCTTATATTACTTATATATAATTTTGGAAAAATGAAATATTATTGGGAGCGCTGTCGTCCTACCCTACCGAGAGTTCAAAATCGTGCTGACACGACAACCACTACTGGAGATGCTGATCAAAGGATACAACCTACGTTATCTCGACGCACAGGAGTTGAATTGTCAGGAATTTCAATAGAACCTGGACCCTCTCGTTTAGAGAGCGAAGGTGGTGAAATTTCTAGACAAATAGAAAGATCATCTGGTTCTTCCAGTTATTTTAGTGGTATTGTTCCAAATGAGGAGGAAGATAGACCTCTAACTCCTTCTCGTGGTGGAGTACCTCGGGAAACCAGTGAAACAGGAGCAACAAGTGAAGCACGAGAAACAAGGGCTGAAACTAGAGAATGGTGGTGCTCAGTGGTATAGTTAGTTTATTTTATTAGTAAGTTAAATCTTCTCTGAGGAATGAGTCGAATGACAGTAAATTACCTTTTTCATATTCTCATGGGTAATTATGTAATAGTTTCGTAATTTTCGGTTTCAAGAGTTTATTTCTGTACATTAATGATTTTAGTTTGTTCATTTGGTTAATACATTGAAATCATCTATGAATAAATAATTAAATCACTTATATTAGCAATGTTTTGAGTTATACAACTAAACAGAGTATTTTTGGTTAATAAGCTGAAGGTGAAGCTGCCTCAATTAATTTTAGGAGAACAGTATAACTTAAAACAAACTGTTTTTTATATCTTAAGTCATTTCTAATTTTTTTTATCAATTTTTTAAAGTGTTTTTAGTGTTTTCAAGATGGCCTTTGACTTTGTAATATATGTCTGAGTATAATTAGTCTACATTATTTAAAAACACAGAATCAAATATGTTGTAATATACGGTTTTCTAATATCCTATTTTTACTTTTCATACTCTGTTTTACTTGTAGTCTAATTTGTTTTGTACTTGAAATTAAATAAATTAAAGAAGAAACTGATATTAGACCATTTGGTTGGCAATCAGCATTTATATTATAATCTCCTCAAAACAACTTCAATTATTTTACAAAAATGGTTATCACCAAAACTAACCTACAAATTTTTTAAAATTCTTTAATGGAGTTTGGACATTTTTCTCACAGTGTCCACGAAAAAACTCTCACCGTCGAACACTCTCTGTAAAATGAGAGGAAAAACACACACGAAAAATGGGGGCTGCACACAAATTAATAAAATTGAAGAGTTGGCTGGAAACTTAATTAAGAAGAAAAAAATAATGGATCCAAGTTTAGAACATTCATCCTCCAAATTCAACCATTTTTCTACAGTTGAACATGAAGCTATGGGACATTTTATTTGTTTTTCATCCTTCCTTCAATGATATTCATATGATAGATAGTGCAAGAGTAATTAAGTTACTACACCAAGATACCCTCACAAGCTTGGGATGTACTTTACTTTTTTCAAATAATAGTTTTATGTCATCTCTTATAATAATTAGGCGCAATAAATCTCCTGTTTATGTAATGTGTATGACACTATTAGTATGAGATTTTACATTGGTTTAACATCTTAATTATTAATTATTTGTCATCGACTTGATGGATTCATCTTTCTTGGAATCACATATTTTAGATTGATGAGCGGTGATCGATGCCATAAAGCTCTCCTCCATTTATAAAAATTTTGATGCAATCAAGTTCTACATTCGAAGGTTGAAAATGTATGGAGAGTTGCCTCGAGTCATGTGAAGGTTTATCATCTTTGAATATTCTAATTTTATTTTATCTGTGTAATGAATTGATAATTACTTCTTTTCATTTATATTATCAATTAATTAATCGTTGTAAGCTTCCAAAAAGATGTCTGTATAACTGTCATCAAAATCTCTTCTAATAATTCATTACTTTTTAATTGCAAATCATTCCAAATCCGACCTATTTGGAATGAAAATTTTTTGAAATAGAAACGAGATTTTAGATCGCTCTTGATTTAAAATTCCTTCCTTTTCTTTTCGAAAACCAAACAGTGAAATGATTAAAAAATCATTCCTTGCAAATCAGAGGGTTCTAAAATTCACAGGTAAAGAATTTTAAATTATTTATCAAATTTCAAATCATGAATTTTAAAATTATTTAACTTTCCTAACCCAAAGAGAAGGTAAAACTATGTTTTCCCTCACAAAAATTTTGTTTTATGATTTACATTTGAAAGACATTTCTAAATTTCTGCTTGATTCATGTGTATGATAGTATTTTCTGTTTGATTGCATTTTTTAAAAAAATGGAGAATATATATAAATCAAATAGAAAGTTTTAAAACTATAGGAACTCAATTGAAACTAAACTTTAATTGTAGTGGTTGATTTAAAATTAAGCTAAAAAAAAATCTTTTTTTTTAGTGCTACATTGAGTGTTTTGTTAAGTGTTTTTTAAATTCTAACCATGTGTAAGTTTCAATGCTTTGACTAGTTGATTTTTTATTTTTTTTTATTTGAAAATGACTAGTTAATTTTGTTATGCAAATGTTTGGTTTAGTTTTAATAAAGTATTAAATATGCCAAAGCGAATATAATTTAACGATAATTGGCATATATATGCAATCAAAAGGTTGTGAATTCGATGTTGTACTAAAAAAATAATTAAATGCAATATTTATTATAATGAAAATTTTATATGTAATTTGCATAAAATAAAATAAACATGGTGTTTTTAATATTCAATTCCTTAGACATCCAAAAATATATTATAATATATTTATACATAAAGAGACAAAAAAAGAAGACGTATATGGATTTACATTTTTACCTCCTGAATGCTCAAAACCTTCCCAAATAGATAAGGAGGAAAAGGAAAAAGGGCACAAAGTTTCCAGGAATTTCAGAAAGCCCTTACAGTTGCTAAACATCAAAGCTACCATTAAAAATAAAATAAAATACTACGCCTGAATGCAAGTTAAAGTCGGTTTCTTCCCACCAAAAAAAAAGTTTAGCGTTTGAATATCCACAGTATGCCTAAAATGGTATAGATAATAAAAAAAATTAATTGTTTTTCGTTTCTGTTTTTGCAATGCTCTCTGATAATCGAGCCAGCGACTGTAAATTGCACCGCAAAATGGTATTTACGAACACGCACGTCTCCTCTTTCGTGTTTCCCGGCGGCACGTCCACCATGTACGACTCCACCACCACCGTTCCGCCGCCACTCGGCGACACGTGGACGCTCGTCATCGACCGGTAATTCTTCAGCCTGTGGTCCCCACCCACGACGCTGAAGCTAATCACGTGATTTTCGTCGTCCATAATCTCCAACCGCTCTCTACTCCACAGCGCCGGCAAACCGGACACCACGTTCACCTCACGGACCGTCCCGACGGTAGCGCCGTCGCCGTCGACGATCCGGCAGCTCTTGAGGAAGCGCTTGTAGGCTTGGGGGTTGTCAAATCGGCGGACCAACGACCAAACGACGGCGACCGGAGCGTCGATGGTCTGGACGACGACGGAGGTGCACTGGTCGGAAGCCACTGCATGCTTGTTGTCGACAGCCGCGCACGGCGGCGGAAGGAAGTGGGTCTTCGGGTTAACGGCGGCGGCGGGGAAGCGGTAGAATTGAATCGACGACGGCATATTTTTCCGTGAGGAAAGGGAAGAATTAAGGAAACGATTTGAGTTAGAAATATATAACTATGCAGAACACAGAGTCGGTATATATGGGGTTTGGTTTGAACGTGAAGGCAATTTAAATGTTGATTAATTTGAGCTTTTTTTTTTTAATTGGAAAAAATGAAATCCACTTGGGAACATATTTGCTGTTAATAGAACCTACTTTTTGGGTCTTGGCGTTGCCTAAAATTGCAAGTGGGATCAGCAAGTTGCGAATGGCCTTGTTTGGACTCGGTATAAATATTAAATTCAACCTTACTTCTGATTCAAACTTCAACTTTGCCACTGCCAAGTGCCACCAAATATTTTATGCATTATTGACGTTTAACGAACTTTCTAGAAACAAAGCCCACCATGCTTTACATTGGCAAATAAAATTACTTTTCATATAATTTGGACAATATTTATTATTTTTCAAAGCATGTCAATATTTGTTAATTGATTAATAGGAGATCAATCTATATTTCTAATTGTACTCTATATATATACGGATTTCAATGTTTATACGAATATTAACCTTTTAAGATTTTAACATGGTCTCACACTATTATCTCTTATACTCTTTTATATTTTAATTTTATTGAAGGTGATAAATGTATACTAATTTTATTTTTTACTCGATTGACATTCATTTCATTTGTAAATTTAAACAATTCTACATAGATTTATTTTAATTTTTGCAATTTTTTTCTAATTAACTTTTTTATTAAAAATTTTAAATATATGCTTTTTTTTTACAGGATGTAGATGCTTTTTAGAATATAAATTTAAGTTATTATTTCCATTGATATTAATATTTTCTTGGACTTTAGTTAATGTTATTGTTCTATGAGTACTTCATTAAACAGCTAGATCAACGTAATTTGTAAATAATTACACCATGTTTACTTTGAGATTAATTACTCATTAATCATAAACAATAAATCAACAATGATAATACTCCTATAAAAAGTCAGCTGACAAAAAATGTATATATAACTAATTAAATGAAAGAAAATATTATTACATTGCAAAGCAAAATAAACATTTCTGTTTTGTAAGAAAATGTTTCAATTTTTTCAATTATGTCACAAATTGAATTCAAATCAAATATGTTATTTTATTAATATTTTTCTATAATCGGGAGTCGAAAAAACACATTAGGGGCATTTATATCCGTCCCAAACTCGAACTTGAGGGACTGTTAAGGATCTTAACTAGGTAAAATATATTTTTTTTAGTACAATATTATAGGGGTGGGGGTTCGAACTCATGATCTTTTGGTTAGAGATGCCTTAACCATTTGAGTTATGTTCGATTTGACGGTAAGAAAATATTTTAATCTGCCTTTGTAAAAAAAAATAATAATAACAATAAATAAATAACTTCAATTAATAAATCTCTCTCCCACACTCATCTCTCATCATTCGATACTATTTTCCAATTTATAATTAAATGAGCAAATTAATTAATAAAGAAACGCAGGCGCTATTATTAAGGGTTTGCCGTATTCATACTCTCTCTTTTTCTTTTTTCTTTTTTTAATATTTTTTTTAATGTTCCAGCTTAAAAAGAAAAAATACGCATACAAAATTGGAAAATTGGACTTAAATTAATCAATAATCAGCAACTAATTTTAATAAATTCCATATATTCTATAAAGAGAAAGCAAGTGGATCTTATATATGGACTATGGGGGATACCATTTGTTTTTTCTATTAATCATAGGATATTTTTCTTCATAAATTCATAATATAATATTATAATTCACTGGATAAAATCGAAAGTTATCTAAGATAATAAAACTTATCGAAATTTGAGGTGATAAATGATTTATTTGATAATTAAAAGTTCATTGGATAACTATTTCACTTTTAATTTTTGACTTCTAGTTTTTATTTTTTAAAAAACAGATTTGTTTGGTGTTTTTGGTTTTTCAAAAAATGTTTTTTTATTTTCAAAATCTCATTTCAACTTTTTTTTTCTCATATTTATTTCTAAAAATTTTATTTTTTACTTTAATTTTTTTATTTATAAATTTCTCTCTACAAACTTTATTTATCTCTCTAAAATTTTCATATTTTGAATATTTATTATTATTTGTGTCTCTAAATTTTTTCTRTATTTTTTTTCTAACAAATCAGTTTCATTTCCCTCTCTAGAAATTTAATATTTTTCTTAATTTTTTTCTCTCTAAAATTTCATCTTTTATAACTTTTATTTCTCTTCGTAATCTATTTTTTCCTTTGAAAATTATATTTTATTTTCCTGTTCAATTTTCTTGTAATTTTTATTTGTCTTTGTATTTATCTATTTTCTTTAAAAATTATATTTTAAATCTTTCTTTTATCTCTAAATTTGTTTCCACTCTAATTTTTCTCTTTCTTTTTTTAATTTCTTTTTTTCTTTAACGTATCTTTTCCTCTCGATTTTATTTTTTTTCTCTACAATTTTTCTCTTTTTGTCTTTAACTTTTCTTTGACTATTTTTTTCTAAATCTTTTTATTTATCTCTCTAAAATTTATCTTCCAAAAGTTTATTTACACATATCTCTAAACTTGTATTTTAATGTCTCTACAATAGGGGAAGACAAAAATTTCCGAGGATCGGGTCCCAAAAATAAGAAATGCATGTCTCGTCCCCGTATCCGATTATATTTTTAAATAATTAATATATATTTATTACATTTTTTTATACTTAAATTATAAAAATAATTAAAAACAATTATAAAATCGATAATTTTTCTCGAGAACATCTCTCGGCCCAAGAATGAGGTGGAGACGGAGATTAAGAATTTTCACGAGCACGAGAATGGGGGAGAGCATCCTCATTCGCATTCACACCATTGTCAAACATAAAATTTTCTCCCTCTAATATGTATTTTCAATTTTCTAACTTTTTAAAAACTAAAAACTTAAAACTGTTAACAAACATGTTTTGGTTTTTCTTTTTTAGAAACAAAAAATCAAAAACCAAAAACTATAAAGAAGGAAAACCAATAACAAAAAACAAAAATGGTTATCAAAGAGGTTCTGAGGCGTTTATTTTTTTATTATAAAAAAACATATATAATTTTTTACTCAAATTGGTTTGTTTTCTAATGTATGCTTCCTGAAGTAATTTAAGTTGGATTTGATTATTGTTCTTAAAATAGAAATTTAAAAATAAAAACTTTTATGTTTTTTTGAGAAACAAAACATTTTTGGTAACTAATGTAACAGATATGTATCTAAATATTGGTATCGAGAGATATAATCGACTCTTTTTCTATCTCAGAGTCCACTAAAAGGTGTAGTAATGTAGTGAATTATTGAGTGTACAAAACTATAATTATTAAGAAAAATGAGGTAGCTGCTAATCCTCCAGAATCGTCCTTCACCTAACAATCACCAACATGTATATATAATAATTTTCCACGTCCCTTCATTTGAACAAATTAAAAACCTCAACCTCCAATCAAAATGTCTCCAATGAAATAAATATTCATTTCTTTACCACTGTTGTATTTTTATGAAGAAAAAAAAAACAATGGAAACAAATAGCCGCTATGATACGTTTAAAGTTGTTATGAAAGTTTAATTAGAGGAGAGTGGGATTAGGAAAAGTTCCATGAGGCTGGCAAGTTGGTTGCCTAAAGTCGAGGCTAAAAGCGAAAATTTATGGCCAAAATAATCTAAGGTTTGGAAAAATCCTGCTTTCTTTCTGTCCAACTTGCCTGACAATGTCAATTCATTATATGTTTTGGCTAAACTTTAATTCGAACCCCACAAAAATAAAATTACAAAACCCACCTCATCAAATACGACCACACCCTTGACATAATTGATAAAATTCGACCTTGTATTATTCAGTTCTATGTAAAGATTGTTACAATTAAACTTTTTATTCGAGGATTTTATTTTTAAAATATTCTTTATAAAATTTGAAAACTAAAAACTTTAGTTTTCACACCAACGTCTCGATTTATGAAAATAAAAATTGATATGAAAAAATCAAGTTTGATTATAACACGATTTTTTGAATGTTTGATTTAGTAACAATATTTGCGGTTCAAATTGTTAATTCTTTTGAAAGTTCAAAAAATAATGTACTATTAGCACTTTTTAGACAATGTATAGGTATGCCCCTGTATGGTGATGTTTCATAAATTTCAATAAAATCGCTATAAACTTTAGTAGTTTTGGATTGATATATGAGATTACTCTTACTATGCTATTTTCATATATTATATTTAAATAGTAATGTTTAATTGTACTAATGTTAAATGTGTCTTATTAATTATCAACTGGGATTATTTCCAGAAAGAATAAAAAAAAAAATCAACTAGGATTATATAAGACCGTCATGTATTTTCGATAATGTGATTTGTCTTTCAAGCCCATAGACAATTGATTAGGTACTGAAAAACAATTGCGTGCGATGGATAACAATGGATTTTTATTTATTCATTTATTTTTTCCAAGGGGATAACAATGTTCTTGACAACAATTGGAAATTTTGTTTTTACCCTTCACATTTTTCATCTTCCATACTTAAATATATATATATATATATATATATATATATATATATATATTTTATTTGGTCTTGTTTATGCATAAAATCTGTTTATGCAAGGATGTGCACAACAGTGTGTTTCAGATTGCAGCTCGAACTCGGCCTCCGGACCGATCTGAATACTTGGGCGGACCTGCACAGAAAGGTGAGCACTCCGACGATCAAGTCAGTACAGGTCGGATTCCCAGTTTTAGTTCGAGGTCAGAAAGCATGGTACCTGATCGTGGAGTGAAGTCCTCTACTTATGGGTGGTAGTCCCGCTAATCTCGCGACGGTTACACCCGGTAATCTCGGGATCGTCAGTTACACCCGGTAATCTCGGGACCGACGGTTATACCCGATAATCACGCCGCTGACAGTAGCTCACATCGGCCCCCACCGAGCTTCCCGGTAGGTCGGACCTCGGCCAGGTTCACCTCGGCCCTTATACTTAGCATCTGTCAACGCTAGTGGTGGTGATCTCGGCGGTCCGAACTGGGCATGACTCATGAGTCATCTTGGAGCACCAATAGGGGTCCTCCATGTGTCCAGGGTATTCCCTTCCCCAAACAAAATCCAATAAAGGTTAGCTCGGAGTTAATAAGCTCGAGATAGAATGTGATATCTGATATTCTTTTTGATAAAATATTAATCAAATGATTAGGGAATTCTGATATCTATAAGATAAACTAACCTCTTGTTGTTAAAAATAATTATAGAATTTAATTTGAAATAATGAAATATTTCAAATAATAATTTTAAAAATTTAGGGACAAAAATCTTATTCACAAAAATCGAAATAAAATGATAAAAATACATACAATAATCGATTATTGTTGAAGGACAATAGGTTGGATATGTTCAAACTGTGGGTCGGATCTAGATGCTGGGATAGTTCCCATTATGCCAACTCAGAATCATCCGAGGTAGTCTAATTTTCCAGACATGTCCAAGTGGACCTCTCTTTGTTCGGCCTTCGATCCTTGAAGTGGTGACATGATTTTCATCCCAAACACTCACTTGACCTTGCCCATAGTTTTGATCACTAAATTTGATTTTTTTGGTATGAAAATGAGAATCTAAAATCCAACAAAGAAACAAGTATGTCGTAAGAGTACCATCAATAATTTAAAATAACACTATAAAGTTAAAGCATGATAACCACCCTAACAGCATCGTCAATAATTTAAAATAATATGTAAAATTTGAGAGGAACCAATCAAGAAGAGAGGTACCTTGTCTTCATTCTCTGAAGATCAGAGTAGTTGAAGAATTCACATTAAAATCTCAAAACAAAATAAAAGTCGGAGAGTTCAAAAGTTAGAATCAAAATTGAAATTAAAAATCTAAGGACCAAGAGAACATCTAGAACAACATATAACTTACAAAAATAAACACAATTTATTCCAATCCTTGGAATCCAGAAGTGCCATGCAGGCGCATTTTATTAAACGTATTGAAAGAACTTTGTTAGATCTAAATAAAGGAAACTGTACATAACTCGGTATCTGATTCACAGATCAGAAAAAAGCATCCCATATTCTCCAAACTAAAACCTATGGAGAATTCGTCAGCTCCAATACTTATCGTAGTTTACAAAACACAACTACAGAAGTCAGCAACTTCAGAAACCCAAATCGCCCGTCTCATAATTCAAGTATCTTACATAATCATCTGCTGCAGCATTCATATCCTCCTCCCTCCCCTGCTTCAAGAAATCGAATCCACCGTCGAAATCAGCCGGAGTTTGCTCCGTGTGTTGGAGACTTCCGAGCAGCTTTGCGTCTGGATTTTGGAACTGATATAACAAGTTTGATGGCTTCTCAAACCCAACATTGCCAACTTGGGAAGGCATCATGTTATTAGAACCATTCGCATTGCCCTCCAAAATGCTTGGATCATACAAGGGATCGCTGTTTATCAGGCCTAGCAGCTCCTCCACATCAAACACTTCATCCATTTGAAAGTTCTGTAACTCATCCCAACTAGGAATCCCAATTCCTGAAATGAATGATTGTTCATTGCTGCTTTGGTCACCATTTTTAGCATCAGCATCTTCGTGCTTCACTTGCTTCTCTAAAATCATTGGCGTTGCAATGTGATCGGCCCGATCACTGGTTCTCAACTCGCCTTCTCCATCTTCAGTCTTAATGTTTGAGCAGACAAGTTGCGGCCTTAATGTAAACTCCTCAGGTACGCAAACCTCAGATTGGTTCGATGTCGTCGTTGTCGATTCAGAACATGTCGAAGTAGCAGTTGAAGAATCTGAGGTTCGCAGCCTCAAATAATCCTCTAAAAGAATCCCTTTGAGCTGCCCTCTGTTAGTAATGTTGGGAAGGTTAAGGCGAGCAGACGGGCCATACATCGCCCGGGCAGCCTCGTCATAGGCTAGAGCGGCTTCAATGGCCGTGGGGAAGGTACCGAGCCACAGCCTGCTTCCCCTGTTCGGTTCACGAATCTCCGCAACCCATTTTCCCCATGTCCTCTGCCTCACACCTCTGTAATTGCAATGTGAATTTAAGGGCCCTCCCTTGCCTTTCATACATCCCTTCTTAGACCCTTTTGCAGGAGCTTTACGAATTGGCTTGCCCCCATCGTTACAAGACTCAGAAAATTCATTATAAGCTTTCCACTTAGCAAGAGTCTCAGCCACGGTCGATCGGTCTCGTCTACTCCGTGACTTCCTCTTCCTGATAGAATCAAGAGGTAAAGAAACGGCCTCAGAATATTGATGACAAAGACTCATTCTATTGACAATTTTGAACCCAAATCGAAGAAATCCGAAAAAGGGAATGTCGATTGCTTTGAACTGAAAATATGAGTGCGCCCCCAAATAAACAAGTAGTTGTTACTTGCTGAGGAAGGCGAAAAAAGTAGAACGGTTCGTGTGATTAAAACCCACAGATTTCTTGGGCCCCAAGTACTGAAAGAATAATAAAATAAGGAAAGTAAATGGAAAAATCCTTCTCCACTACAAAAATCGTAGAATAAATATTTTCTATTAATAGTCATAATAATCCTATCACGCCTATCCAGCACACAGAAGGAGAAGGAAAGAAACTTCCAGAAAAAGCTGGAAACCTAATTCTAGGGCACTCCGCGTACAAATTAACAAATCCCAAAATAACCTCAAGGACTCAAAAATGTTCAAATTAAATTCGAATTAGCAATTCAAAGATGAAAAAAGTAACAAGGCAATCATCAATTTTCCAATCGCAGACTTACTGAACTTAGAAAAAACAGAGTGAAGACGAGTAGAAAGGAAATTTCAGGAAACCAACCTCTCAATCGTTTGCGATGTCATACGAGAAGAAAAACCCCTATCGAGGTATGCGGTTTCTTCTTTCAGATCCAAAGCGCGAGCAAATTTTTCCTCCTGCAATTTCTCTGAAGCTTTTTTCTTCACTCCGTTGTTGTTCGAAATGGTTTCTGTCGTTGAAACTAGAAAGATCTTTTGGTTTTCTGTCTCCAAGTAGTAGAATCGGCTCGTGAAAGTAGAAGGTGATAGATATTTATATCCTTCTCTAGAGATTTCTGATACATATCCATTTCTAAAAAAATAACAAAATATAACCACGTGGCAATTTCCTAGTCGCTTCTCGACCTTTGAAAATCTTAATCATTGGCACGTGGCACCCGAAGTTTCCCGACCTCAAGGGTCGCTTTCTTATAAATCTTAACGGGTACTTTAAAAATAAAAAAGAAATAGAATTTTGAGAAAATCAAGAAAATTAGCGTGTTGGTCAAGAGAGCGGGACCAAAACGAGTCGTTTTGTATTAAATGAATTATGAAAATGGAATTAATTAAAATTTTGGCTTTCCCATGTACTGGGCATATGCCCTGATATTTCTGGGGCACGTAGGGTGGTACGTGTATGTCATGGCCTCCATGTAACACTAGAATATGATGCTCTAAATTTCGCGGTGTGTTGTTTGTTTGTGCCACGTTGCGTTTAAATATTGGGCCACGTTGACTGGTTCGTTTCGTGCCACGTCGAGGTGTTACATGGCACTGATGAAGGTTGACGCGTAAAAGTAGCATTTGCGTTATGTCATCGGTCGTTGGTGACATGGCAAATCGTACTACGTTTATAAAGCGTCACTGCTAACGCCATTTCGGCCCTCGCATTAATTAGAAATTAAGAGAATGTATCAGACTTTAAATCAGTGTCTAATTTTATTAATGTGAAAGAAAAAAGTTTCAAATATATTATATATGTATACATTGAATATTGAAATTAACTTTTAAACCATCGATTCCCGTCCTAAATAAATAACACTAATCAATGTCAATTTTTAATTTCTTGAATTCAAGCCATTTTTACAAGTCTTTTCACCAACGAAAAATTTTAATTTTCTACCTTCCCATAAGCTAGGGCAGTCTCGCCGCATATGATTTGTAATTTTAACACTTTTTAAAATCTTATATTGCTAATGTCTATACAAATTAGATAATAGAATTTTTAGGTATAATCATGAAAGCTTAAGTCTAAAATAGACAATATCTTACCATGGTAGAGATGTTGGTAGAGATGTAGAGAATGTATTGTGGTGTTGAGAGTCTCTTGGTCTATCATAATTTTTGAAGGGTAAATAAATTTTTTTAATCCCATGCTGCCTTTTATCCATTTTAGTAATTATTTTCATTCATGAAATAACTAGTTGATACTACCTGATTTAAAATTTGTTGTTGAGCCATTATTCTCTTGATCTCACACTGAAAAATCATTTTCCTTTACAACATACACAACTTGAAATAGTGAAAATGAGTTGATCTAGAACTTAAAAAGGATTGTATGATTAACTCTATACATGTGTGTCTTCGAAAGGGTAATACGAGAATACATTTAGTAAAATTGGAAAAGGATGTGCATTAAGCAAAAGCCATGGAGGCTTGAGATTTTGGGATATCTCAAGTAAAGTTTGGGGAGATGCAATTTTTTCTGAAGAATTCGCATGCGAGATTCAAAATCTAGTCCTAGAGAGCATGGAGGTTCTGAGATATTTTGAAATCCTAACGCCTATTAACAAAAAATTTTTAAGGGAAATATTTTAAGACACAGAACACTAGCTAAAAGCAAAGCCTAGATCGATCAAATCCTTTCATGGTTTGATCTAGAATTCTCTAGGGACAAGAACTATTTGCAAAAGACATCAATAGCGTGGCTACAGTGTAGAAGCTGACTCCAACCCCTGATACTGAAAGAAGAGCATTGCAATCCAATCTTTGTGGCAAGCCCTCTAAGAGGAAAGAACGTAGCCTACCAATGGAGAGTGTGAAAAAGGGACAGAATTCAGGAAAAACTTAGATGTGCAGTATCCTCATGCTATCAAATATCCATCGATATATCGACTCTCAATACGGTTCTAAGGGAAGTAATTTACTTATTTTGATCGTGGAGAACATACCATTCGACAGGGAGATTCTAAAATTGCAGAAGCTTGATTCAATCAAGTTGCTGAATATTGGAAACAAGCTATAGCACTTACTCCCGATAATTATATTGAAGCACAAGATTGGTTTAAGATCAAAAGGCATTCTAAATAAGAAAACTCCGTCGTTCATGGTTCAACATCAATGTGAAGAGTAAATTGACATTTTAATAATATTACAAAAATATCAACAAAATTTCATTAATACAGACATAATATTAATTTTAATCAATTTATAGGGGAACAATTATTTGTTAATTGAAATATTTTTTTAAGGTTTTTCATTTTATAACTTTTTTAGAAATATATATCAACATTAATATTTTATCGATATTTTCATTGACATTGTCATGCAATTGAGAACTCAACATTTCCATCGCCATCGATGTTTAAAATCTTGAAATGTCAAAATATAGAAATACATCCAAGAAATAGACCAGAAGGAATAGAAACTTCACATTAGTGAGATTGGATCGAACCTCATTTTCCTCACTGCCTGGCTGACGAGTTTTTTCTAAATCGCTTTTCTTTGCTTATTATGTTTTTGTTTTACTTCAAAAAAA